CTCAGTGGTAGAGTGCCCCTTGGGGAAAAAAAATTAGAATGCTATGTCATTTGGGAAGGGGCAGAAGCAGAATTTGAACCCAGGACTGTCTGACTTGAGCAACACCCATGTTGTTGTTTCTTCTTTTTTAAACTTGAGTTTTTCCCCCAGCCCTTTTTATTGTTAATCTTGAGACAGGGTCTTGCTAAATTGCTGAGGCTGGCCTTGAGTTTGTAATCCTCTTATTTTAGCCTCCAGAGTAGCTGGGATTATACACCCAGCTGAATACCCATGTTCTTTACCACAGTGGCAACTGAAAAGTACATTAACTGTTTCTGTAAAAGTGTGTGTGCTGGGGAGGGAGAATTTATCACAGTTGGGGTTGAGGATAATCTTAGCTGGACATAAAACTAATGTATCAAAGATTTTTTTTCATCAAGCAGATTATGTACTCAGGCTATTCAGTAAAGTTTCAAAGCATGAAAATTAGTTGCTTTTCTATCTTCTTTCTAGAAAASAAAGAAAACTATAGAAAACTAAGCAAGTTGAGTTTCTCTATAGGAGTAATTTAAAATATAACTTTAAAAAGTGCAGAAGTTGTGAGAAAGCGATTAACTTGACTTGTGTTTGCTTCTACTTTCCAGATCTAAAGCATGTATTCCCTTTTTGAAAAAGAGTAAAATTGCTCATATCCTCAATCTCAGTCCACCACTGAACCTAAATCCAATGTGGTTCAAACAGCACTGTGGTAGGTAGTAGGGTCAGGGGATGGTTTACTGATTTGTTTTGAATTAAGTCAGTGTATTTATTATGTAATCATAACTTGTACATAGTACTCCGTGGTAAATTTTCTGTTCCAAATCAATAGGTAGCATTTTGGAAAGTAGATTAGTRATCATTTATCTATAATGTTAGAAATTTATAATTTAAAAAATTGAAGTATAACATACATTCAAGAAAGTGCACAGATCTTAGTGGTTCAGTGAGTTTTGAATATGTGTATACCTGTATAATCATTACCCAAATCAAGATATGGATTTCTTTTCTTTTTTTTTTTTTTGTTTTATATTTTTAGTTATAGATGGACACAATACCTTTATTTTATTTATTTATTTTTATGTGGTGCTGAGGATCAAACCCAGTGCCTCACACTTGTTAGGTAAACACTGAACCACTGAGCTACAACCCCAGCCCAACATATGGATTTTTATTATCCCAGGAAACTCTTTCACATCCCAGTGGGTATGTTTTACTGTRTGTAATTTTTCCTTTAATAAGTTGATTAAATACACAAAAATAAAGGGATAGTTTTAAGATTTTTTATTAATCACTGGACATGGTGATGCATGCCTGTAAGACTAGTGACCTGGGAGGCTGAGGCAGGAGGATCACAAGTTCAAAGTGAGCCTGGGCAGCTCAGTGAGAATTTATATATCAAGATAAAAAATTAAAAGGGCTGGGGATGTAGTTCAGTGGTAAAGCACCTCTGGGCTCAATCCCTAGTACTGCAGATAGATAGATAAATAGATAAATAGATAAATAGATATATAGATAGATAAAATTGATTTAATGATTTTAGGTGAATGTGCTAAGTAACAAGATTTATGTATAGTATGTGCCTGTTTTAAGATCATTATGTCAAATACTTGGTTCATGTTGCAGTAGAATTCACTAACATTTGGAAAGGCACTTGGAATGGGAATCCCTAAAACAAAACAAAAGAAGTTCTGCTTTAATCGATTAAGTGAATTTGCAACCTTTTGTTGTTATTAATATTTATTTTTTGTGGTACTGAGGATCAAACCTGAGGCCTTGTACGTACTAAGTACATACTCAATTACTGAGCCATACCCCCAGCTCATGTTCTTGTTTAATGGTTTGTGGTTTCTCTTTAAATAATCACCTTTGGGGTTGGGGTTGTGGCTCAGTGGTAGAGCGCTTGTCCCACATGTGTGAGGCACTGGGTTCAATTCTCAGCACCACATATGAATAAATGAATAAAATAAAGGTCCATCAATAACTAAAAGAAATATTTAAAAAATAATAATCACCTTTGTTTTTTAAAAAGAAAAAAAAACAAATTAAGAAGTAGTAATGCAATTTATTCCTATAATATTAAGAAAAACAAAAGTTTATTCATCTTTTCTTTTAATCAAATATTAGGAAGGAAATATTTAAAATGGGTTCATCTCTGCTCAACTAGTTCCATGAAAACTGTTATTCAAAACTTAGCACATTTATTTTTTAAAATTAATTAATTAATTATTTTTAGAGAGAGAGAGAGAGAGAGAGAGTTTTTGATATTTATTTTTTTAGTTTTTGGCAGACACAACATCTTTGTTTGTATGTGGTGCTGAGGATCGAACCCGGGCCGCACGCATGCCAGGCGAGCGCACTACCACTTGAGCCACATCCCTAGCCCCGAAAAAACTTAGCACATTTAAAACTGTATTTTGTATCTTTTAATATTATTGAAAAAAAATTCTCAAAAATATATCAGGGAGTTATGGAATATAGTTCAGTGGTAGAATGCTAGCCTAGTATGCACAAGGTTCCCAGTAGTACTGGGGTAGTGGGGGGATGGAGATAGATCAATCTTTCAGAGAGAAAATAGTAACAGAAATAAATTGGTTATGYATACTCACAAATCAATTTGTTTCTGAATTACATTATTATTATTTGTGGTTTGTTTGCAGCTTATACCATTGCTAAATATGGTATGTCTATGTGTGTACTTGGAATGGCAGAAGAATTTAGAGGTGAAATTGCAGTCAATGCCTTATGGCCTAGAACAGGTATGTACTTGTTTAAAGGTACCTTTATTAGATTTGCATTTATTGTCCCCCTTTCCCCTGGTGCTGAACCCAGAACCTCACCCTTGGATGCCCTAGGCAAGTGCTGAACCACTGAGCTGCACCCCCAGCCCTATTCTTGTTGGCACTCTTGAACTGCTTCTTGGAGTGGGCCTGCGTAGACTATCAACAGTAATATCATTCTGCTTGGAAACAAGTTACATTTTTATTCTGCAGCATAAGAGCCTAATCTGTCACCTTTCATTTTTGACTGGGGCTACATGGCTGACTCTTCAGCTGAAGCTGTATTAGGAACACTGAACACTGGGCCGTGTGGAGATTCTCATGAAGGCCAACAAGAGAAGTGCTTCCCTAACCTCTTCCCTGTCTTGTCTTTGGTATCTTCCTAAATTCTACAGATTCTTATGCTTTTGTTTTTTCCTTACATATCCCCCAAAATGCTTTTTAACTTTCTTATATTCCTACTATTTTTATCTTTGCTTTTATAAAAGGCTGCATTATRTATAGTTTGATATAAGTTCTTGTGAGTTCACAGAGTGCCCAGAGCCTTYTTGGATGATAGGAGAGTATTCACATGCCTGGGCTTTGTATATAAATTTACAGTTTTTAAAACAATATTTATTTTTTAGTTGTAGGACACAATAACTTTATTTCATTTACTTATTTTTATGTGGTGCTGAGGATCGAACCCAGGGTCTCGTGCGTGCAAGGCGAGCGCTCTACCGCTTAGCCACAACCCCAGTCCCAACATTTTCAGTTTTGGTATGACAAATTGATGGCCTCCTGGCTGCTGAAAATCTGTCTTGTGGGTTTTTTACTTACCACTTTTATATCAAAATAGCTTAAAGAAAGAAAAAGAGAAGATAACTTATTTCATCATATATTTTTTTATATACTTAATAGATATTGCCCATGAAAGCCTTAATTTCTTTCCTCTTCAATCTAAATGGGCGTYTCACCCCTGAAAATGTATGTCTAATGATTATGTAAGAGAAGCGACTGAGAAGGACTTTGATTCCTTCTGGGAGAGAGGACACATGGGGCCAGCAGAGAACAGAGGAGGGAGAYTAGATATAGACAGTCCCCAACTTACGATGGTTCGACTTAATGATTTTCCAACTCTTCAATGATGTGAAAGTAGTTCAGCTTTCARTACTTCTGATTTTGAATTTTGTTCTTTCACTGGCTAAGAATATGCAGTACCACATATTCCATGGTACTGGAYAATAGCAACAAGTTGCCACTTCCAGTCAGCCACAGTCATATGAGGGTAACAGCYGATTTCTGCTGTGTACTGTGCTGTCAGCATCGTTTTGGATTTTGTATTTTGTGTTTTTGCATACTGTTATATTTATAAAATGCCCATCTTGCTAAGTGTGGTGACTCAGGAGCTGAGGTGGGAGAATCAAAAATTCAAAGCCAGGGGCTGGGGCTATAGCTCAGTGGTAGAGTGCTTGCCTTGCATGTGTGAAGCGCTGGGTTTGAGGCTCAGCACCACATTAAAAAAAAACAAAAAACAAAAAAYAGTAAATTAATAAAAAGGATATTGTGTGTCCATCTACAACTAAAATAAAAATATTTTTWAAAAAAATTCAAAGCCAGCCTCAGTGACTTAGCAAGGCCCTAAGCAACTTAGTGAGACCCTATCTCAAAACAAAAAAGCTGGGGATATAGTGCAGTGGTAAAGTGCTCCTGGATTAAAACAAACAAACAAACCCAGATGCCCATCTGAGTAAGTACATGAGATATTAACACTTTGTCACAAAATATGCTTTGTATTAGACTCTTTTTTTTTGTTTCGTTTTGTTTTTTGGGTGTTGGGGATTGAACACAGAGGTACTTTACCCTTTACCGCCAGTCCTTTTGGCTTTGAGACAGGGTCTTGCTAAGTTGCTTAGAAAGCTTCACTAAGTTGTTGAGGCCGGCTTCAAACCTGTGATTCTCCTACTTCAGCCTCCCAAGTTACTTGGGAGTACAGATGTATACTACCTCACCCAGCAATGATAGACTTTTT